GATTTCTTTCTTAGGTAAGATTATTCAGGCAATCCCTGAAACCTAGGTGTAATGAAGCAGAGCTAGAAGATCATGAAGCACAGGTACGAACCAAAAAAACAGACTCAATCCCACATTCTGCCTTTTAATCTAATCTGGCGCCACCCTTCACTAGCTAAGAGATCTCAGGCAAGCCACCTAACCTCACTGAGCCTCATGGTTCCTAACCAGTTAGGTGGGCATCACATATGAAAGACTCTTGTAAGGCCTAAAGGAGGTCTTGTCATACAGTGTACTGATAAAGCACACTCCTGATAAATTAGTTCCCTTCCCATCTTTCCCATATCTCAACACAAGCAAGGTTTTAAGCCAAACCCCTTACTCTCCTTTATGTCCTACCAGGGAGTAACCTTCACCCTACCCTGGTAGGTACTTATGCCCATGCATCTGGGCTTCATAAAAGCCTGCAGAAGCAGCCTAGAACAAGCACAAGAAGACCAACTGCATCCAGAGCAAGGGAGGTAGCATAGGTGCAGACAGTCCAGGTGGCCCCGGGGGTGCAAATGAATACTGCCTGGGGAGAGGCTGGCTGGCCAGGGGCTGCCAGGACACACCCTGACCACAGCCAGGACAGCGCCTGGAAGCCTGCAGAGGCAGGGCCCAGGACCGTCTACAGCTCTGAGGCTGCACCTATGTGGGGCGTGGAGAAGGCAAGGCAGGTAAAAATGACAGGAAGCCACTTCCACCAAGAGTGGAAGAGGAGACCCATCACGAGAAGCTGTATAGAGAAAAGCAAAATTCTAAATTCCTCAAGAAGGAATTCTGTTGCAAAACTCCTATCCTATGGAGAATTCAAGAAATACAGACACATACAATTATACTTTGGAGCTCACTCCACATTTTCATACACCAACTTTGCTTGAAGCAAGGATATCTTTAAGCTAACGAACCCTTCTCTGAGGTCACTGGTCCTGGACAGAGGGAGTTTCGTTAGCAACATGTGAAAGGGTCCTAAATGTTATTACCAAATGGAGTCAACTCAAGTAACACAGCAGGGAGCAAAGGAGAGGATGCGTAACCATTTCCAGGAGACACAGCAACTTCTATCTGAATACATTTGATCATAGTGATCCAAAGGTCTTATTAAATAAAAGATTAAAACACAGCCAAAACCATATCTCACTAAGTATATCCAGCAAGAAGTCCTAACAGGCCTTTTCCATGATAGAGCAGCTTCCAAATACAGCATATGACAAAGAGATACTTAAGGAAGGAGGAGTGGGAGAGCTGGCGGGTACCAGCACAAGGAGACCATGGAGTTCCCAGGCTCCAGTAGGCACAGTATTGGGGTCTGAAAGTTAGAAAGGAGCCTCAGAGGTAACGTGGCCCAATCTAGTTCCCAACGCATCAGTTAAGCGCCTCCTGCTCAGGTTTGCTCCCACCCATCAGAGCACCAGGGAAATGGTAGCCTGGAGCCTGGTACCTCCAAGGCAAGCAGCACAGGCCACAAATGGCAGTGGCACTGAGCTGAAGGCCAGCTGGCAGGAAGAGGAGGTGGGCCCAGCCTTTCCTGCAACCAAGCTGCCTAGCTGGACCTCAGAGAGCAGCAGCAAAGAGATCCTCTGTTTGCAAATATACAAACATTATTGAAACAATAGCCATGGGGGTAAATTCTAGAAATTCTCAATCTTACCTGCACAAAATTAACAAAACTGAATGGAGAAAAAAATACTGTGCCTGATAATATAAACTTTCTTACCACTCCAGGTTCAGGGCTCGCTGGCCAGTGGAGTCGCAAATCACAGCACATTATAGTTTTCTGCATCTGTGCCTACTCTCCCCACCCCCATCCCTACCCCCATCCCCACCCCCACCCCCGCCCCAGGCTGCTTGCACACAAACAGCATCTCATTGTCCAGCACTCACCTTACATACAGTAGTTGCTCCATAAACACATGCTAAGAAGAAGCCCCAGCCTGAAGTCCAAGCTCTCAGATTCTGGGCCCTCTGTCCCCAGGCTCCCTGAGGGTGGTCAGGCAGCAGCATCTCTGGGTCCTGCTCAGCCTACTGAGGCACACCGAGTCCAGGCAGCCCCGAAGGCCCAGCCATGCTGCCATCTCACCAATCTCTCTCCCCTGCCCTTTACTGTCCTTTTCTTCTTTGCTTCCTCTTCTTTTTGCTCCCTCAACACATCACATCACAGTAAGGTGATTAAATGCACAGGATCTGCAGTCATCCGGCCTCCGCAGAGTATCTACGGTTCTGGACCTCAGCCTCTCTGGAAGTTTCCTGAATAGGAAGCAGGGGACTAGAAGTGGTGTGTGCACATAGGTGCTCGGCAGTGTCGGCCCACAGTAAGACTCACTGAGTGACAGCTGATCCTGCATAATTGCCCATGGTATTCACTTGTCTAAAGATACTTAAAATGCCAAAGGCAGAAGGTTGTTTTTTCCCCTACCTATGCAAGTCTGGTTTTGAGAAGAGCCTCTCTGCTTTGGAAACAAACTGAAACAGGTCCATATCACGAGTTCAAATACTTCCTATTCGTTTTTCATAGGGAAACAAATGACTCTGACCAGGCATGACCAAACTGGGTAAAAGGTTCTGTTCCAAACAGTAGTTAGGAACCCACACTAGTTCGTTTAAAAACAGAATAAAATAAAAATCATCCATAAAGTAGCTGAGCTAGGACAATGATAGGGTTTGCACGAGTTCTCGGAATCAGAAACCTACGCTAGGCCAAAAAGTATAGGAGGGAAGGAGACAGCTTTCCTGAGCTTTTCAGGGAGTAGACTTATAATCACCCTCTTTCCCGATCCCATGGCCCAGCCCGAGGTCCCTGAAGACCCTACACTGTGCTAAGTGTACCTGCTGGGGCACCCACAGGTGTTCCCCTCTGGATGCTTCAGAGACATCTCCTCCGACTCTGCCCGTTTTGAAGGAATACGTCAGTTTAACCTAAATGCACCTCTCATAGACCACTTCAAGCAGATAATGCAAAAGTGAAGAGAAGGACAACATGAAACAGTGCAGGGATGGTTGGAAGAGAGAAAGGATGACCCCCAGATCGGAGGTAAGTCCACCCCAGTCAGTTGCCTTTGACTGGTCTGTGACAACACAGCTCTGGAACCAAACGCCTGGGTCTGAAGCTGAGCCCACCATTCCCAACGGGGCCATCACTGAGCTCTCCGTGCAGGAGACAGGGGTGCCATGAGGACGGAGTGTGCCGCCCCCCACCGAGCAGCCACTCAGAACAGGCCCAGCACACAGCCACCTGCCTCCACGTGCTCCTGCAGAGACCACCATTGAGACACTGCTTACCCACTTCTCCTCCTCTCCCACTCACAAACCCAACATGTTCACAAACCCAACAACTGAATCACAAGGCAGCTGGAGGGGGTAAAGTGAGGGAAGGCAGGGAGGGGTGGCAGGGAGGTGTCGCTGGGACCCTCATAAGTGGGCATTTTGTAGGCTGGGACGGCCTGCAGCAGTGTGCTGTCATAACCCAGAGGGTGATGGGCCGGAGAAGTATCGTCCACCCCTGGTCCTCCCTCTGGGCTGCTCTGCCCGTTTTCAAGTTCCAATGCTGACGTATCAGCAACAGAAAAGAGGCAGGAGAAGAGACAGGACGAAGCCAGACCAACCAAAGTTTCACGCTGCCTTTTGTGTAGTTAGCCGTTTTAAGATAGCAAGGAAAAATCAATAAAAGCTACTAGTCAACCACCTGATGGAATGCTGCTCCCCTCCTTCCAGAGTCTACCAGACCAGATCCTTCCCTAGATACATGGTCAAACAGACCTCTGTAGACCGGTCTAATGCAAGAAGACCCTCTCCTGGCCTTCAGCCAAACATGCACACACACACACACACACACACACACACACAAGTCTGCTCTTTCCTCCTCCCCAGAGACAGTGAGGAGGTACCTTTGAGGACTGACCACTTAGCAGACGGTCCTGCCTTTCCTCTTCCACCTTCCACCAGGGTTCAAACCAACAATCCTACTTCTCCCTTCTTAATCTTATTATTACCACTTTATTCCTTTTGTTTTTCAATTGTGGTAATTTTTTTCTTCTCTGTGAAGACTGACACTGACAAAAAGTGAATGAACTGCAGAGTTTTTAGGGCAACAGTTTCCCTGTCCCCCCTCCCCAGTTTCTTGATTACCATAGTAAGCCTTAACACCAGAAGACAGCTAAAGCCCACACCAAGAAAACAGCAAGTCACGTGCAGCTGAGCCCCAGAAGGAAGGGATGTTGTTCTGTCCCCTCCACCACCCAACCCACTCCACTGGATCAGAGCTGAATTCTGAAAAGTGGAACCAAAGGTGACAGGAGGGTGCATGGAGGCAAGGGAAAGCCCGAAGAGAGTTTAGATAAATTTCCAAACAATATCCCCACCACTCACAGTGTACCACATTATTTGTAGAAGTTAGAAACCAAAAAGGGATCAGATTTTCAACTCTGCCACCTAAAGTAGAAACTGAGAGTCTTATTTACTGCACAGATTTAAGCCCAAGTGCCATGCCTCCAGGTTTACAATTTCAACCTGCAGCTTAAGTTTAAAAGCCTGGGTACTAAAGGAGTTACCTGGGTTAGAATATCACAAATTTCTTTTGTCCACAAACCATTTCAATTGTCTCCCTATCTATACTCCCCGTCTGGCCTCATAAAACATTTCACACTCTCCAAATACATATATTTTTTCAACTCATTTTTTTCTAAAGTAATGATCTGCCTAAAGAATGCTCATGGCCCAGGAATAGTCCAGAATCTTTTCCACTCTTCTACTTCAATGAAAAATGAAACCCCTGTACAAGGCACAGCCCATCAGAGCCAGGCAAGCAGCAGCAACAGGTGTCAGGGACTCTGCTGTCTGCTCCCCGTCTCCACTAACATCCACGGAGGTTAGAAGCACACACTTCAGAATCAGCCCAGCTTTGAGGCCTGACCTGCCTTGCCACGCATCTCACCAAACACTAGTTCATCATCTGTAAAACCAGGGAAAATAACATGTCCTACCTTGTAAACTGTCGTGGGGAACAAATGAGGTGATGTACGTGAAGCGCCTGGCACACATAAGCACCCAGCAAATGTCAACTATTCACAGCTGTCTAATAACCTGAAAAGCATAATGGTTTAGTAACTTTAAGTCTTCCAGGTTTCAAAAAAAGAGGGTTTTTTCCCTTATGAAAGTATTAGTGAAATTCCACATGAAGGAAAAATCAAAGTCCAACTTAGCCATCAACTCACAACTTAGAACAAATCACGTTCCCCCCCCCCCCATTTCTTTATCCATAAAGTGGGAAATAATATACTGCACTAAACCTGATGACCTCAGACAAAAAAGAATCAGTGAGATAACAGGCGATAAAAAAGCTTTCACTTCCTCAAAGAAAAGCAGTAAGGAAATCCAGAGTACAATTATTACTGAAACATCACATCCAGTATAACGGGACATACGTAAACCACTGATGTTACTCAGGCTTTCAAGAACATTAGGTCTGATAGCCTTTTAATCTGGTCACAATGAGCCTGGTACAGAAGGAGGGGGTACATGGCTGCTCCTTGCAAAGCCCAGTTCAGAGGTACAGCCCATCAAATCTAGGAGTGTGCCCTGTTTGCTAGTCAGGTGTCATCCACCCAGGCCATTTCTTAGATGCCAGTGCCAGGAGAAATTAGAAAAGGCTTATGGTTCCACCTGGACAGGTTAAACCAACATCAACCAAAATCCTTACCCACAGGAATTTTCAACAGACCCAAGAAAGGGTCCACTCTGACCCTTTATTCTCCTGTGCTGAGCAAGTAAGATCTCGTCTACGGTGCGTACCATCCTTTCTGGAAAAAAAAAAAAGCACATTTGAACTGGAAGGAAGAGCTCAATTGTTTCTTGTTTGATATTTACTTCTAGGTTCAGAGGTTTGAGTTTAATTTTTAACCCACCATAAAAATTTTGGTGTGAGAGCCAGAGGTTGGGATGGGAAGAAGAGTGGGGGGATTGGAGGGTTAGTCCTAACTTAAAAAGGGAGCATACAAACAAAACTATATCCAATTTCATCATCCACAGGTCTCCCAAACCCAAACAGGAAAGAAAAAAAAATTACTTATGGTGATTAAACACTTACTCTGGGCCAGATATACTTGCACAGAATATTTGGTACACATTACTCCAGAGCCCATTTTCTGCCCCACACCTAGAAACACCATGATCACCTGCACCATACCAGGTGTGGGGTGGGGGGACCTCACAGTTTAGCAGTCACGTTCTAGACATTTCAAAAGCTAGCATCGTGAACACAAAAAGGCAGCTTGGTCTAAAGTTCCTACAGATTCTCTGCAAGAGGACCATCTAAACCGTTTTCCCTATAATTCTGGAATTGAGCCATGGTGTTTAGTATCCTATCCAAAAAGTGAAAACAATTTAAAATCCTGGAGCACAAGGAGAATTCACTGTAGGGCCACAACAACCTGAGCCAAGTTTCTGACCAAGTCCACTTGAGCATGAAGTAAGACATGTATACAAGCTTCTGGAGGGCCCTTTACAGAGGTGCTCGGAGGAGAGCCAGCACCAGGAGCTGCCATCTGCGTGGCCAGGTAAGGAGGGCAGGGCCTCCCCGCCCGCCCAGCGCAGACGCGGAAGGTCCAGCTCACTGCAAAACCCACCACCTCATCCGCACCCCGGGGGTACGATCCAAACAGCTGTCTCCCGGGCAGACTGTCAGATGGGACTCGCCAAGTTTAAACGCCATCTCCCCATCCACGTCCCAGAAAATGAGAAGGTGTAAGCCTCGAGGAAAACACTGCTCACAACTGGCCTGCATTTCTCAGCGCTAAGCACTGATGTCACCGTAACCGATGCCTGCGGTAAACAGCCGCCACCTTAGAGCTCACGGGCTGAGTGCGGGGCCGCAGACGCCTTCCTTCAATTGAGTCTGCGGGGAGTCGGGAGACCAGGGCGGTCCGTGAGCCTCAGGGGACGGGGGACACGGGGCACACGGGAGATGGGGGGACCCGGGGGTTGGGGGACACGGGGAATGGGAGCACAAGGAGACGAGGGGACGAAGAACATGTGGGGAGAGGGGAGATGAGGGACACGGGGGAAGGGGGACACGTGGGGACCTGAGGGGACAGAGGGCCACCACAGGAATGAGGGAATCGAGGTCCCGCCGCGCCCTCCCTCTCCGGCGCGGCTCCTCAGCTGCGCGTCCGCTCGCGGATCCCCTCGTGCCCGGCCTCGGCGGCGCCCCCGGCAAACACGTCCAGCCTCCCGCCCGCCGCCAGCGGCCCTGAACCCGGGCCTGCCGTCCGCTCCGGGGCTGCAGCGGCGGCCAGAGGGAGGCGCCCAGCCCGCGCGGGTCCCGGGCCAGGTCCGGAGCCTGTCTCACCTCCGCCTCATGCCGCGCTGCGCTAGCGTCCCGACCGCAGCCCGCAGTCCAGACTCTCGGCCGCGGCGTCCGGCGGCCTAGCCCCGCGGCGACCCGCCTCGGGCCGGCGCCTCAACCCGCAGCCGCCCCCTCAGCAGTCGGCGTCCCGCGCGAGCAGCACCACGGCTGCTGCTGTGGTAGCGGCGCTGCCGCCGGGTGGGGCGGACACATGGGAGGGCGGGGCTGCGGCCCCTGGGGCGCGACCACCGGACCCCGGCCTCGGGGCGCTGACTTCAGCGCGCCTCCGGAACCCGCTCTGCCGCCCGTCCCCAGGGACGCCGTCGCGACCCGCTGGCTCAGCCTTTGCCAGAAGCTCATGGTTCTATGCAGAAGGTAAAGGAGAGGGCTGCCTCCACACCCGTCCTTCTCTCCGCTCCCCCCGCAGGCCCAGTGGTATATTCCTCAAAGCCCGCCCCGAGGGACTAGGGAGGAGCTGATTGGTTGAGAACCTTGGACGGGGGCGAGGAACCGCGCGAAATGACCAATGGAAAAGCATGGTGGGCACATCAAAGCCGGCCAGAAAGGGAGGAGAGAGGATGCTATTAAAGGGCACGTTATTTGTTGCGCTCTGTAGCCGCCGCACAACACAACTGGAATTTTCTATCTGATCCAATCCAGACAGGAAACAAAGAGGTTGGGGATCCTCAAATTTTGGAGTTAAGAGAGCGAAAAGAAAATATGTTGAGAATTGAAGAAGATATCTGCGTGTGCCTTTCCGCCGTCCCGTTGTCAGTTGTCTCATCTAATCCAATAAGGATACTGAAGTAGAATTGATCTCTGTAGTCCTCATACTTTGCAAGTCTATAATCCTTGGCTTGGGATTAGCGATATTTACATATGTTCTTCAGTTTGGGGCATCAGCTGAAGAACTTTGATTGAAAGTTGACACCAGTTCCTTTGTACAGTCAGTATTAACCCCACCTTTTGTGAAGAGAAAGTCAATATCCTTTCTGACTCCCTCTCTGAAAGCAGAGAGTTCTTTTCATATGTGGAGAGCCACACTTTGCCCAATAATTTCTACTCTAATTTGACTCCTACTGAGAGTCACCTCCTCATCTTCTCTCTTCCTCCACATAATCAGACAGCACCTTAGTAAATAATTCATTTGCCTGTCGAACTGTCCAGAGCCCCAGGCTTCAGCAACAGGTCTTGCTGGTCAGGCCTCATCAGAATTGCCAAAGTGCTGGTCACTATCTCAAGTCTGTGGCAGCCATTTAACTCGACAAGGACAGTGAGCTCTCAGTCTTCCCTGACTGTCAAATTCAAAACTTGAAAGCATCCTGTAAGGGTCCCACCTACTCTCTTTTAGAGGTTTACACGGGCAGCAGGCTGCACTTTGCTAACAACCCTCCCGATCTAACCACTTTCTTTTTTCAGAACTTTTTAATTTGACTGTGCCAGGTCTTAGCTGCAGCACCAGGGATCTTTCTTAAGTTGCCACACATGGAATCTAGCTCCCCGGCTAGGATAGAACCCAGGCCCCCTGCACTGGGAGACTGAAGCCTTAACCACTGGACCACCAGGGAAGTCCCAAAACTTTTCAACCTCCCTACACCCCTCAACCCTCTTCCAAATTGTGTCAGGTGTCTGGGGTACCCTTAGTAGCTCCACTCCCCAGCCAAACAACTCGTCTTCCAACTATTAGGCAGAGTTCGAGAAAGTCCAGTTCCTCCATGAAGGCTTCCCAGTCTGATGAACAGAAGATTCTGGCTTATAGAGTTCCTACTTCTACTTCTAATCTGTGTTCCCCAGACCTTGATTTTCTGCCCTATACTATGCAATTTTTGTTGACATATTTACCTCTCTCCTTCATTTACAGCAGCAGCTGCTGCTGCTTACATTTAACATGAATAAATGCTTCCAGTACACTGGGTACTGTTTGGAAGTGCTTTGCATGTATCACTTCATTTCAGCCTCAGACAGGCTTAGGGAAGTTGACTTGCTCAAGGCACACACAGTGGAGGTCTAACTACATTGCCTACCTTCACATCCCCCACAATGCAAGGCTATCTCCTATTTCTTGAGAACCAACTGCATTCCATACAAAAGATAATGTGATGCACCTATATCGTGTTTTGCATTGATCCCTGTACCTGTAATATTTCAGCCTCGAACAGTCACGTCAGGAAGGTTAGGAGCAGTTTGTTACAGGCAAAGCTGCAAATGGACTGATGCACTTGCCTCCTGTAACAATGCTGTTGAATAAGGCATTTAGTTTTCCAAGTTGTGGACTGGCCCCTGCAACCCCTGCTCCTTGAGTGAACACAGACTTTTCACGTGTAGCAAGTAGAGAACCTTATAAGCAATTGGGGAAGAAATACAAAATAGCAACAACAACAACAACAAAAAAACCCCACACCATGGACAGAGAAGCCTGGTCCAGCAAGTGCTCTCAGTGGACTTGTATAAACCGGGAGAAGCACCTTCTACTTCGCTTTGCTGGCTTATTGCTCATATGTTGTCAATGAGAGTATGTCTTTGACACATCTGGCAAATTCCACAGAAAAGGGCAACAAAAACTGCACCCCGCTCCCTATGGTGCCTGGAGACAGAATCAACCCATGCCCGTGACAAAGGGGCTTCCCTGTGTGGGGTTGCTGACTCTAATTCGGGGAACTTCCTGATTCGCCATGGAGTGAAATATCCTGCTCCACTGACAGTGGTGCCACAGCTTGAAAAAATAAGCTGGGCTAATGATTTCATTCTTTTTAAACTGCTGAAATCGTCACAGGGATGGGCAGGCAAGCAAAATGGCGTGGGAACCAGTCAACTTTAGATATCAATTGAGAAGGCTGAGCATGGCCATCCTGGAGTCAGTATTTCCAAGTTGCTGTCTGCCTGACCCAGCCCTTACCCATCCAGTTAATTTTCACTCCCATAGTGCTTCTGTCTTTTCCCATCCCCAGAGAGCTCTAAAATGCCTCTGCTCATCCGGGTGTTTTATTTATGCATCCAGGCATTTCTTGGGCACTTACTATAAGCAAAGAACTGTCAGGTTGTGTGAGGTAATCCTGATGGATCGCCCAGGAAGCCTGCACCTACTGATTAGATGAGTGTGGAAAACATCAGACCCCCTTGGTGAGAAGTGGATCAGATCAGCAGGTGCCACGACTCTATCCCCAGCTAAACATACAAGCTAGCATTAGACCACTCCTGCCCCAGGGCAGGAGGAGCATGGGATGGGGGTTGGGGAGAGGGCCCTTGTTGGGGAGGAAGATGGAGAGATTGAAGGCACCCAGGAATAACTGCACATGAACCAAACAGAAGGCAGGATGATGTCCATCCATAATTTGGCCATTGAAAAAATTGTGGTGTGGTCTGTGTTACTTTTAAGAAAATGAAAATTCCTGATTTCCAAAGTAATACATGTCTGTCATTTTAAAATGTTTAATAGGGAAAATTACAAAAATAATAAAAAAATCTAACCATTCCTCTTACCAGCATATCAATGTTACAATTTTGATATATGTTTTTTCCTATACTTTTTTGTGTGTGTACATGTGTATGTATTTTCTTCTTTGTATGTATCTCCCCTGCCCCTAACCAGGGATCCAACCCATGCCCCCTGTAGTCTTAACCACTGGACTGCCAGGGAAGTCCCCCTGCGTATATCTTTTTTTAAATAAAAATTGACCAAACTGCTTTGTAATCTATTAATACTTTCTCCTTAACAAGACCAGGAATTTTCCCATGCTACGTAGATTATTCTAAAAGATGATTTTAAATGGTTGCATCATATGGCTATACCTTAAGTTATTTAATTCTATTTTTAGGTATTAAGATTATTTTCAATTCTTCATTATTATAGTAACTTCAAGGATTATCCATATATGTAAATGTTTATATATTTTTACAATTATTTCCTAATATTTCTAGAAATAGAATTGCTTGGTCAAAATGTATGCACATTTTTTTTTAATTTATTTTAAATGGAGGCTAATCACTTTACAATATTGCGGTAGTCCCTGCCACACATCAACATGAATCAGCCACAGGTGCACACGTCTCCCCTGTCCTGAACCCCGCTCCCACCTCGCTCCCCACCGCATCCCCTGGGCTATCCCAGATCACTTTGAGTGCCCCACCTCATGTATGCAACCTGCACTGGTCATCCATTTTATGGTAATATACATGTTTCTCCCAAATCATCCCTCCCTCGCCCTCTCCCACGGAGTCCAAAAGTCTGTTCCTTACATCTGTGTCTCCCTCACTGTCCTGCATATATTTCTAGAAGTGGAACTGCTTGGTCAAAATGTATGCACATTTTTAAAATGTCTCACATATTGCCAGTGGTCTTTTGGAAAGTTTACAGCAGTTCCATCCTCACCAGCCATCTATGATGTGGCTATTTCTCTGAACCCTCGCCAATCCTGGACATCTCTTTTGTACTCCTTGCCATCTGACAGATGAAAAACAATATTTTGTTTTGATTATCATGCTGTATCTTTAACCCATCAAGGTGATAAATACATATCCTTCCTTCCAAGTCCCCTGAATTGAATAGCAAAATGAGTGCTTCCTTTCCCCCCCCCCCATTCAGCCACTCTTCTCCCAAATCCCTGAGAACAGATAGAGAAATCAAGAGGAAAATCTGCTCAAATGACTAGACAAACTCAGGGCCATGTCACCTGAACCAGTAAAGAAGGTAGTGGAACAGATGGCTCAATAGAGCACATATGCTCTAAATTACGACTTTGAAATGGGTAACAAGTCCTTACACAGAAACTTTTTTAGCTATAAAAGGAGATGAGTCCCCTGAGTTATATTTAGTACTGGCTAATACGAAAATCATTTGCATTTCTTCAACAACACCCAGTTCTGTGATGGGGCAAGTCCATGATGAGCCATCCTCCATATCGAGTGGCCAAGCCACCCAATGTAACTCTCAATTCCTGCCCAACTTTCTGGTCCCTTGGCTTTGTTTTTGTCTTGTGGCTTTCTCCACAGCCTCTTCTCCCCTCCAGCTGTCAGTATCCTAATTTCCCACTGAAGAACTTATCCCTCCCCCATTCCCAGCTGTGTTTGGTCAGGGTTG